TTTTGTTGCAAAGCAAGAGAGTTGTTAAGCGAGTTTTTTACGATCTGGCTTACCAGAGCTAAGTGAATCACTGAAGTTATTAAATTAGTAACATGGTTGTTAAGTGAACCTGGCTTCCTCATTGACTGTTTGTCAGGAGGTCACAAGAGGTTATCACATGACCTTTGCACACTGCAATCATCAAAAAATAAAGACCAATTGCCAAGCATTCAACTTTTGATCATGTGACTATGGGATGCTGAAATGGTTGTGTGGAAAACAGTCGTAAGTCACTTTTTTCAGTGCCATTATAACTTTGGTCACTAAATGAATGGTTGTAAGTCAAGGACTACTTGTAATATATATGCAATGTTATGTATATGTAAATGTGCGTGTGTGTATACAAACCAGTGATGGGTTACGACCGGTACACCCCGGTACGGGCGTGCTGGTGCCTGTCGGGAGCACCAGGTACTGTTCTGGTACAGTGCTCCGGAGGGCCCACCCACCTGCCTACGTTCCTTACCAGTATTTGAGGTTTTCGGGGCTTCCGTGATGCACACGGAGCCTAAGGTGCTTGTGCGACACTCCGCTGATAGATGGAGCGTCATAGAGCATAGTGGACGGTAAGTATGCATGCACATGCATGCACACACACTGCAGACATTGATGTGGTGGATGTCCGGCCCTGTTGCACCGTACCAGTTGCACTGGGATCCGGAACCTACCACTGATACACACACACACACACACACACGAAAAACAAACTTATTATATGTGATGTATTTTACAGGTTAGCATTACATTTCTTTATGAACTGTGAGAAATCATGAGCCTTACTGAAATGAAGCACTTTTTGAAGCAGGTAATTCCAAGGTAGACTTCTAACACAGAGTTCCTTAGGTCTAGACCACACCTGAATGCTTCATTTATTTGATGCTCTCCTGCCTTCAGCATTCTCTTGTTTAAAGTAATAGTTAACAGTTTTAGTATGCAAAAGCTCAGTTAATACTAACTTGGGAGTTTGTCTCCCACATGAGACTATTTTAAGTTTTTCAGATAATCCTTTTCTGTGTATTTTGTATTTATATATAAATGACATGGGAAATACAAGTCTCTTTTCTTTTAGATTAGAACATGTATAAACACTGAGTGGGCAAAGATTCTTCACTAAGAAAGATTTTTTCCAGCTAAAATCTCTCATAATGAGGGTTTAAGAAGATAAGCTTCTTTTAGACAAGTTACCCTACACCCACCTTCAAAAAAGTCTATGTACTAGCATCAGTAATAGTTTGATGTAATAGTATATAATATAACAATCTATTGCTATACGTAAAGCTTTATATCCATCTTCTAATATTTTGACTTCATTTAATTGTGCTCTCAGTAAAAAGTACTGAGTAACCTAACTGTTAAATAATGTTGCATGTCAATTCTTTCCACTATTACAATCCATTACTATCTACATAGTCATTGTGGCAGTATTAAACAGACGGAAATGGGACTATTTTGTTATACTGTGTATAGTGAATGTATTGTACTGTGTCTGTGAAAATGTGCTTTAAATTATATTTTCTTATATTTTGCTGGGGACAAGGTTCATTAAGTTTGGAAGTCACACAAAGTTTGTTTTAGAACTGAGCACCATAAAGTGTATTGAAATTTCTTTCCATAAAAGCTGCTTACAAATGTTAATCAAATCACATTTAATAAATTGCCTCTGATCCAAAATAAAATTGAATGTTGTTTCATTAGCTTTGATTGCTTTGTACTGTAAAGATACTATACATTACCAAGGCGCACAATAAAATGTTCTCAATTTACTTAACAAAACTCAGAAAAATGTGAAAGCAGGAAATAAATAGAATTTTATTCCATAGTATATTTTATAATTTAAAAATATAACAGGATTCCATTGGATTGAGATCCAATGCAGTTGAGAATATTTATTCTCAACTGAAGATATTTTTTTTTGGAAAACTTGGAAAAATACAGTTTCAAAGAAATATTTTAAGAGATTATATATTCACTGTCTGTTCATGATTATAGCAAAATGTATTTTAAAACCTTTAAAAGGCAATAGATTTCTTTGCCACTAAAACCAGAGTGATCTATCTCCCCCCCCCCCCCACACACACACCTCTCTCTCTTTTTTTTCTTCCTTTCTCCGTCGATCTTGTTTCCAAATGACTCTGGTCAGTTTATAGCATTAAAATAAGAGATAAATATTTCTAACAATAAAAACCAAAATTGCAATGAAAACTAGAACTATAGTTAAAAGGATGTGCAGGAGGGGAGGAGAGATTGCCTCTTAATTCATTAATGAACATTAGTGTGATGCTCCATCTGGCAGGTCTTCAGGCCTCTACAGAACGTTCGAAGAATGGGAGCCAATCTCACATGAGTTGTTCCAAACAGCAGAAGCCAGGGCAGAGAATGTGCTTCTCCTGGACACTGCCAGCCATAATTACTTGAATGACAGCACCTGCAGCATGCTTTCCCTCCCAAGTGGGAGGGCCAAACCTGGTGGGGTGAGATGGTTCCTCAAATAACCTGGACCCATACCATGTAGGGATTTAAAGGTAATAACCAACACTTTGAATTGCACTTGTAAACAAACTGGCAGCCAATGCAGCTCATGGAGCAAAAGTGTAACATAGACTGCCCCAAGTGCCCCAAAACTGGCCACATTTCCACACTCTACAATAGTTGAAGCTTCTCAATACAAAGGAGTATATTGCACTATTCCAGACAGAAGATGACCTGGGCTTGAATGACTGAGCACAGACTCCCAATCCAGGAAAGGCAACAACTGGGGTACAACCTGAAGTGCAAAGGCTTGCCTAGTCATGACTGCCAGCTGTTCTTTGAGCAAGAGTCATGACTCCAGGAGTCAAGTTGCAGATTGGATCTAGAGTAGAATAGTGCAACTCCGTCCAGAATGAAGTTAAAATCCTGTATCTTGAAACTCCATGCACTCAAAGCTATTTGGTCTTGTCAGGAGATTGCAAGAGGGCAGCAATTGCATCACTTGGATCACCCTGGAAATATACAGTAAAGCAGAGTATCAACATGATCCTTAAACCCTTGGTGGCAAATAACTTCAACCAGCAGCTTCAGGTTGATGTTTAAGAGGTGAGGTGAACACCAACTAAGCGGCATGCACAAAGAAGTGTCCGTGGGTTGGACCTCTCTATCAGCATTAATTGGGACCAGCCTTGGGAGTAAAGTGCAAAACTGTGTCACCTACTCCCAAATACTGCAGCTGGCCCAAAACAATACTATGAGATTAAGAAGACCAAAGATGGTTGCATTATCTTTATGCTACTCTTACCAGAGTTCATCAAGAAGTGTGACCAATGACATTTCTGTCCTCTAATGACCTGAATTCATCCTGATAGGAAACAGTCCAGATGATTTCATTCAAGACCATATAAAGGTGCCAAGCAACTATCTTTTCTACCACCTTTTCTAATAAGAGAAACTCGGCACTGGACAAGTTGTCCAGATGGGATCAAGTGATATTTTTTAAAGAAGGGAACGATCCAGGGCCACCTTAAAAGTCTTTGGTAATATCCCCTTCTGCAGTGAGAAATGTTATCACTGCTTGAATCCATGTACTAGTCCTGGGGTTTTTTCAACCAACCAGGTGGGACAAGGACCTAATTGAAACTGAGTTTAAGGAATCTGTCTATTTCATCAGGTCCAACAGGGTCAAACTGTTCCTAGATTACTGGAAAATATCTTTCTCCAGCACCTCATACAGACCTGCACCGTTTGTGTTTCAAGTGGAAACAAATCCAAGTGACTTTTTCTGTTAGGTGTTGAACCAATTTCTCTGTGTTCTGAAGATATTCAACTGAGCCCCCGTCCCAGAAGGGACCGGTTGATCTGGATCAGGGCTGAGGGTTGATGTTCTGTGGACTCAATAAGGGTGGAAAAATTATGCTGTTTCATTACTCTTATCACCACGAGAAATGACTTAACAGTGGCTCTGAGTCGTGTGTGATCAGTCATCTTTCATTTTCCTCCAGTGATGCTGTAGGAGTCTCTTAATCCTTTTCAGTACACATCTCCTCCATAAATCACAGGGAGAGTTAGAACAATGATTCGAGAGGCCACAAGTGTGATCCTGTCCAGAGTCCTGGCTGCCCTTTGATTCCAGATTACCAAGGCTTTGGCAGGCCATGAAATAAAACTTTCAGGATGTATTCCGGTTCCCTCTGAAACCCAATCAGTCCCATCAGTCACTGGGGATGGACCAGCCCTCCTTGCAGAGAGAGTGGTATAAGACAATGTCATGGACACCAGGATGTGATCTGACCATGACAGGGATGATAATGCTATATTGTCCCACCAGATCTTGTTGCCTCTGTTCCGACAAGAAAATCTTATCTGGTGAATGATCACTGTCTCAAGTCATGCCCAAGATTATTTAGGATAGGCTTATGGCTGCCATGGAGACCATGAACTCCTGGACCACGTCTGAGATCACACTCAGGGATGGCAAGTTGAAGTCCCCCTAGAACCATAAGTCTGGGGAACATTACTGTCAGTCCGGAGATGGGCTCTAGCAGCTCAGGCAGAAAAGCTGATGCAGTAGCAACATTCCCAATTGATCCCAGCTTCAGAAAGCTCATAACCAGACACTTTGAACGCAAGAGCTGTGAAGGCTGTGCCAATTCCCACCCACCCACCCACCCATATAGGGGCCTCAGCTGGTGCCAAATCTTAAATCTGGCTGAGCATACCTCCAGTAATAACAAATAATTAATTAGAACAAAAGCAATCAACAAATATGAATTTTCTATTATCTGCACTTAACCTTCTAAATAGGACATAGCAAAAAGATGGTAGCCCATAAATTATAACTGTTATGGAAGATAATGCAAAACAAAAAACAAAAAACCTCTCAGATAAACAATTTGTAGGGTAGAAATGTATCAGTAAGAATAACCCAAAATCTATGACATTGTAAAAAAAAAAAAAAAAAAAAAACTATGAAAGGATGTCCAAATATGATTAAGTGAAAGATAATTTTATTCTATTAAAGAGTGATTGTGGCAATTTTTTCATTTGCAATAGTTTACAAAACATTTCCTAGAAGACTCAAGCAAGATTTGATACAGGTTTGAAAAATATAAGGAGATTAAATGAAATCACACACAGTTTACTTTTTCCTTTAATTTGCTATCATAAAACATGAAAAGTTAATGTTTTTATCCAAAAAGATCAAATTATTTAAGATTTCTGCAACTCTTAAAAATATAGTGGTTTAGATATATACAAACATTCAACAAATTTAAGGGGAAAATGTGGTAAGCATAAAATACTAAAAATATTGATTGTATGAACACAGCTTTGAATATCTATTGAAGGGTTTTAAACAATTTACTAAGTAACAAAAAGGTTATAATTTTATTACACATTATGCAGCTCTAAATGCAGTAATTTTTATAGTTGTAGTAGTATATTGGACGTTTTAAAATTGGGATAATAATAAAGGTGAATACTATTGTAAGGCTTTTCTGCAAAACATTTAATCACAACACAACTATGTATTTGCAACAGATGAAAAACCCACATTGCAGAAAGATGTACATAAAATTATTCAAAAACATCATTCTATTGAGAAATGAACTTTAATATGTTAGAACAAGCAAGAGGAAAACTGTCATCCCACCACAAATTGAATTCTGGAGACGTCTGCAAATTTTCTATGTTTATGAATTGTTAGCCAAGGAATAACTATTGATAGATACAACATATTTGGCTATATGCTAGATTGAGGAATAGGCCAAATATTTATTCTAATCAACTGCAATGCTGATCACTAATTTTCTAAGCTTACATCATTCATGAAGCATTTCCTTGTTTGAGATACCTTAAGCAACCGTAACCTGTTATAATGCATAATGATACCCCAACCTAATCAAAATTTAAAACATGATCAAAGTGTGTTTGAACATGGTTTTCAAAGGTTTGCTGGTCAAAATCAGGAGGAAACTGTTCACGGCACATTGGACACACCTTCCAGTGACTTTCAACATGTTCTTCAAACTTGCTTTGATCGTAGTTAGGAGGAAACATCACTTCACAGAGTGGACATTTCTTGATGTGCACAAAACTTGGAATAAAAAGAGAAAGAATTGAAAATGGCAGTGAAATTGAGACCAGTATTTAATCTCCAACAGTATTATCTTTGCCACTGTTATTATCTAAGTGAATTGACATAACCAGCAATAGCAATAGTTTTAAGAGTTATATACTATTCCACAGTGCTTTACAGCAATCTATGAGTACTTACAAATGTCAGCATATTAAAGATAAGCTGATTAAAGAAGCAGATGGAGGATTTCAAGGTTATATAAAATATGCAACAAGCAACAAGTTGCGAAGAGAAGTCCATAAACATCTTATTAAGGAAACAACCAGAAGACTAATCCCACAAATGGCAAAAGACATAAGACTGCACTATTACTGGAAAGAAACAAGTTGATGAAAGCTTATAATAAAAAATTAGTCAAATTTAGAACATTATGTAAAAAATGAAGTTATAATGGATATAGTTAGATAAATAATTGATAATGATAACAATGTATTCATATGTTTTGCAATGTTCCCTCTAATTTTTTTTCAGGGTGAGCGGAAAAGTATAGTGTTTGAGCGGCACAGTTTCATGCCTGAC